TTAAAAAAACAAAAACTGAACAAAACATGAAAACCTATCAAAACAAGACATTTAACTGTGCATGCTTCTCCCCCTGGGGAAAGGATGAGAGAACAAATACCATATAATGGATTTTATTCACATTGCTTAATGAACCGCTGGAAGGTGCTCAGATACTATGGTGATGAGTGTGGTATAAGAACCCATATAGAACAGAAGTATCCCAACCTGTCTCCAGCAGGAAGGATGTTGATTGAAATGTAAGGCTCAGATAAGTGGGACAGTAAAGTGGAACAAAATTAGAAATCCACAGAGTTCAACAAGATGTAAGTATTTTCAAAGTGATACTGGCTTTCTTTTTATTACAAGGGGAAAAAAATCAACCCCTACTTTTTATCACAGTAATCGGAGCTCTATTAGACAATCAAAACAATATGATGTTATGAAGGGTTGAAAATTACCTACTTCTTTATGTATTGTACTTATATTAATTGAAATGGTTCTTGTTTCAGTCATTAGGTATTGTTTTCACAGTTGGGCTCCTGAAGACTACTATTAGCTGCCTTGAATAGAATGTATTGAAAATCTGTTTACATTGGCTGAAGAGGAATACAGAAGTTATGTCTCTGCAAAAGTCTTCTCTAATTTTTTTTGTCATTGCAGAACATAGACCCATTTAACTTAGTCTTACAAAATTATATTCACACTTTTGCCCAGAGTGAGTAAATTATCTTGACAAGCGAGTACAATATCATTAATCGTTTCCTGAGGATGACCATGACAAGGGTGGGCATGTTGATTTTATATTTGGGCTGGTAAATTTTCAAGATAATTTTCTAAGGGCAGTTAAATTCTATTGTTGGTTTTAAATAATCTTATTGACGTAATGATAAAATATACACAAGAATTTAAGATCAAGAAAAGTTAAATCACAAAAAGTGACAGTTCCAGAAAGCCTAAATCTGGAAGTGCCTAAATCCCTTTTGAAAATGAGATTTATGCTCCTCAATCAATTAGGTGTTGCAATGCTGAGCACAGCAACACCTAAATACCTTTGAAAATTTGGGCCTGAGAGATTAAAGTCAAAAGTGTCCACTGATTTTGATTGCCAGTCTGAGATGCCTAGGGCATGATTTTCCACAGTACTTATCATCATATAGTACTCTGCGTTCAAAGCACAGCTCCTGTTCACTTCAGCTGCAGCTGTGAATGCACAGCACTTCTGCAAATCAGATCAAGGTCTCAAGCTGGGAATCCTAAAAACGAGCAATAGACAATTCCTTTCACCACCTGTGAAAAGTTTCATTTTCCGGTGACTTGCCCAGCATCACAAAGAAACTGTGAGGACACAGAGTAACTCTCCTTGGCAGCATTCAACTGGCCTTAGCCATGAGACTATCCTTTCTCTTTCTGCAATCCCCTGATGTCTCTCTCACTACACACCTTCCAACTTCTGCAGCAAATGAGGAAGGGTCCTACTGACAACAGACGCCTTCACTACAGAATCCTGATTTATTCCCAGAGCAAGTTCATCGTGTACACTGAACGAGGTACAGCTGTGGAAAAATATTATGTAATCATGTAATTAAAGACTGCATCATAATGTGTGTACACAAGGGTGCCCGATTAATGTTATACAGGCAAAAAAAAAAAACCCAGAAATTCCATCATGTGACATCATATTGACACCCACATGGGTGCTCAGCATGTTTGGAATCTTTAGATCCATCACACAGACCTCTGCCACTTGAGCTAATGGAGTAACTGAGCCATAGTATTCAGAGGAACAGCCGTGTTAGTCTGTATTCGCAAAAAGAAAAGGAGTACTTGTGGCACCTTAGAGACTAACCAATTTATTTGAGCATAAGCTTTCGTGGGTAAAAACCCACTTCTTCAGATGCAACCAGTATAACTCTGCAGAATCAGACCCTCAGCGGATGTAAGTTAGCATTGCTCCGTTTGGATGCAGTAACGCTATGCTGCTCTGGCTCAGAGCCCTGATGCTAGCTGCCAGCCCACAAGCAGAAAGGTCTCACCCTGGCTTCCACCAGCCTGGTTACTCCTTGGCAGGGTGACCCCAACACCCTGACGCTCCTCAGTCTCCCCAAATCTGTCCACCCTGAGTTCTTAACTACCAGACATTTGGACTATTCCTCTCTGGTGCCTTACCCCCAAAGGTGTAAAACCAGCCCCATTATCAGTTCACTTTAGCAAACACACTCCACCCAGTTTGCACACTAGGGACCTGCTTGGTGGAAAAACAAACAAGTTCAATGGAAAAACCACCGATTCAGAGACGAAATAGCAAGGAAAAGCAAGCACATACCCGTTACATCAAAACTAAGGCACAACGTCAGCCTTTACACGTCTACATTAGACAAATCCCCTTTTCTAATATGTAACTTATTGCCTCTGAACAGATTTCCAGAACGTCCCCCCGTCCCCACCCCCGTCACAGTGGGGGGACGGGGGGACGTTCTGGAAATCTGTTCAGAGGCAATAAGTTACATATTAGAAAAGGGGATTTGTCTAATGTAGACGTGTAAAGGCTGACGTTGTGCCTTAGTTTTGATGTAACGGGTATGTGCTTGCTTTTCCATGCTATTTCGTCTCTGAATCGGTGGTTTTTCCATTGAACTTGTTTGTTTTTCCACCAAGCAGGTCCCTAGTGTGCAAACTGGGTGGAGTGTGTTTGCTAAAGTGAACTGATAATGGGGCTGGTTTTACACCTTTGGGGTAAGGCACCAGAGAGGAATAGTCCAAATGTCTGGTAGTTAAGAACTCAGGGTGGACAGATTTGGGGAGACTGAGGAGCGTCAGGGTGTTGGGGTCACCCTGCCAAGGAGTAACCAGGCTGGTGGAAGCCAGGGTGAGACCTTTCTGCTTGTGGGCTGGCAGCTAGCATCAGGGCTCTGAGCCAGAGCAGCATAGCGTTACTGCATCCAAACGGAGCAATGCTAACTTACATCCGCTGAGGGTCTGATTCTGCAGAGTTATACTGGTTGCATCTGAAGAAGTGGGTTTTTACCCACGAAAGCTTATGCTCAAATAAATTGGTTAGTCTCTAAGGTGCCACAAGTACTCCTTTTCTTTGAGCCATAGTAAGCTGTCACCATTTACGTGGACCAGGACTAGAGGGGGATGAGAGACATATTTTGACAATGGGTTTCACAGACATTTGCTGACAGCGGAAGAACTGCAGAAATTAAGAATCATGTGTTCCATTCCAGACTCTGGAAAGGAGTGTGCTCTGCTGGTCACAGACCCTTTTGCTCTATTCCCTCCAATCTGTCTTTGTCCCAGTCCTGTCTCTTCCTCACCCCTTCCTCTTTCACTCAGTCCCGTTCTCGTGGTCTACCCAATCCCAGTCTCCACTCCTCAGATTTTCTCATCCCAGTCCAAGTCTCTTTGGCTAGCCAATCCTACTTCCCTCTTCCTCCTTATTCCTTGTCCCCTGTCTCCTTGCCTAGTTAGTACCAGTTCTCCCTTATTGGCTCTTCATCCACTCTGATCTCTCTCTCTCTCCTCACTTACAATGGTTCCCAGTCCCAGCTCCCCCCTCATGCTCCTTATCCTAACTCAGTCTCCACCCCCACTTCCTCCTTGGCTCCTTGCCAGTCTCATTGCTCCCCCTGCAAACTATCAGATCTGTCCCCCTCCTCCCTGCCCCCATTTACCTTCAGCTGTTTTTCAGTCCAAGTCACACCTCTTACCCCAGGTCCTCATCCAGTCTGACAGTATTCCACCCACCAATGGCTCCCAGTCCCTCTCCCATTTCCCTCCTTGGTTACCAGACCCAATTTCTTGCGCCAATCACTCCTAGCCTCCCCACCCCTGACCTCCCTGTCCAAATAATTCAAAGCTTTCAGTTTCCTTAGTTCCAGTCTCTTTGCATAGTCCCTGCCTCCCCTCTCACCAGGGCTTCCAGTCCCGGTTTCTCTCCCCCAACACAGTTCTAGTCATACCAGGCTCCTCATCCCCAACTTCTGCTTTCCCTCTCCCTGGTCCAGCTCTTGTCCCCTCTGCATTCAAATTAGACACCCTCCTCGTCCATCCTGCCTGGGCACCAGAAGGGGGGCGGGGCCATGAAAGTACAGGACAGTCAGGGTCCCTGCTCTCAGTTGTGATGCCTGGTTCTGTCCCAGTCTGTAAGAGTCAGCACTTATAGGGAACTTCTTTCTGGACCCCATAACTCTGCACTGAAGCATGCTCAATTCCTCTATTGGGGATGGCACATTCTCATCCTGCTCATATGTAGGAGCTGTAAGGGGATGGAGCATGCTCAGTGTGAACAGACTCTTCAGAAATTTTAGCTGCTAAACTTTAAGACGTCTCTATTATTCATGTGAAAACTGCAATGTTTCTAAGACATAACTTGAACATATTTGGATGGATTTTCACAGGATCAGCTAACAGCATATCCCTGGTGCAAAGGGCAAGCTGCCAAATTTCAAGTCCTTGTTCCAAAGCATAGTGGCACTACAGTGTCTCAAAGGAAAGGTCACCAGATTTTTTTTAACATTGCCAAACAATGTATTTTTTCCCTAACCTCATTCTCAGAAATAGTTGAACCATTTTGGCTGAAATTTTCACACACATCCCCCAAAATTCAGCCTGTGCCAGACAGCTGGCATTGAAAACAGAACCTTAAAATGGGCAGTGTCGGGTAACCATAAAATGCCACCAGCTCTGCCTGTAACACAAACACGTATGTGCATACACACACACACACACACACACACAGAGTAAATAGTTATACCCATGGGTCTGATACAAAGCCCACTGAATTCAAAAGAAAGGCTCTCATTTCATTATTAGGAAGCTGCATCAGGCCCTTATATGCATTCTATTATATACTATAAATAGCAAAATTATTGAAAAATTTAATGTTAGGAATGAGTGATAAAGTGCATGAAAGAAACAATAACAATGAATAAATAATAACAATGTAATAAATATATTAAACATTGAAAAAAGAGACCTTTTCAAAAAAATGTTTTGGTTTTTTTCTTCCAACAAGCAGTCACAGAAACAGTCTATGGAAAGAGAGTGTTCCTCCTCAAATAGTTTAATGAAGAATTGGGGCAAGCTGCAGGTGGGTCCTCTATACACCTTTTAATTTATATCTCTTCAGTGACAAAGAGTAAAATCTGGGAAATATCTTTATCCAGGTATAGTAAACGAAAATTCTTTCTACTTTTCTTTTAACAGCTCCATAGCTGAATAGCTGAGGGTTAAAAGATAACTGGCATGGAAATAGCCCTCAGTGAAAGAAGTACCAACGCAGAGAAACTGATTTTGATTTGATTGAGTTTTCTTAATATTAATATTTCTGAAAATCTTGGCTAAAATCTCATGACCTAATCTCTTTCCAAATCCTGCTGCAGAGAGAGAAGAGAAAGAAAAAGTATGCAGAGCATATTACTTATGCTAGTTCAAAGTAGATCAACAGCTTCTTCTGATTCTTATTCTGTTTCTAAATGAGATGTGAAGTGTTTGGGGAACCAAAGAAAAATTTTCAGGTTTATCATTAAAGTGATTAGAGACTCAGTAAAGGAAACACGAATAGCAGGAGTTCTCATTCTGCTGAGTAGATTCAGCAGAAGCTGCTTAGGCCTCAAAGTTCAGTGAACTATAATAAACATACAGCTTCTTGGTAGTTTTCTTTCTTAACCTTGGTTTCAGGAGATTGGTGTGTAGAATTTAGTAAGCTGGATTGGTGACAGTTTTTTATCGGCAAATTATTTTCATTCTCAGTTCAACCAATTCATAGACACAATCGTATGAAAATAGGCTAGAAGTCTTGTTCTTCATGTTTCTTCTTCTACAGGCTAAAGAAAAATTAATTTGCATCTTTGAAGAGACATTCTCAACCAGAAAAGCTGCTGATGTGAATTTTTGTAGTTTCCATTAAAGATATACTAGTCCAGAGGATAGTAAAACGTTCTTAGTCTCCTACCAACTCTACTTGCACATACTATCCAACTGGAACATACCCTGCAGGAGAACATAACTGCACCTGGTGTCCAAATAGCTGGAGAAATCCCAACACCAGGGAGCCCTCATTATTGTTGCAAGGCATTACTTAAATATAAAAATAAGTTTTCATAGTGATTTCAGGACCCTGTGAAGGACTAAACCCCTGTCAATTCTCCCTTCTTTCCTGCCTCTCTGTAGGCCACTTCAGAGAACCTACTCATCTGGATCAGTGGAAGAGAAACACAAAAAACAATAGGCCCAATCTTCACCTGTGCTGAGCTCACATTTGACACAGCTGTGGGGTAAGAAAAGATTATTCTAAACCACCTTTCTGTCTCCTGTAATCCTGGGACTGGGTGGTGGCCAGACCAGCCCCTGGCACACATGTGGGCAACTAAAGGGCTGCTCTAACCTGCACCTGTTTGAATCTATCAACTATTTTCCAATCATAGAGTAAATAGGATTAGCCAGGTCATAAGTATCTACTATGAGCGAAATTGCCAGGAGAGTAGGGGCATAAGCACATTCCCAATGCCCTGTGTGGATCATGACTTTGGGTAGGCAAAACACAGCTCCACGGGGCAACTACTCCCCTCAAGAGCAAGTGGGTAAGGTGGGGGCAGAGAGGGCAGAGCCTTAGATGAGCCCCACCCAAAGCATTTGTTGGTGAAGCTGGGTGTGCAAGGGGAACTCTGCTATGCCCAGAAGAGGGCTGTAGCAAATACTCACTTTCCAGAAAGAAGGGGGAGCTCTGGGAATAATAAATCCTTCCCAGGCCTCATCCTGCTATGGTGCAGCTGTGCACCACCCTCTTGCAAAAGGGTACTAGCGATGTCTCAATACAACCTTATGGAAATAGCTCTGCAGCATCAAGGTCTGTGGCTGTGACATGTCTACTGTTCCCCCACAAATGACTTTAGTTACTTCCTTAATCAAATTGCTCAGGATCCTTGCTGTTGGTTGCTTTGTAATTGACATAACATCTGGCGTATAGGAATTTCTTTTTTTTCCCCTTCTTGTTAAACAATCATCACAAGATTCTCTCACACTCCCAAAACAGTGCATTTACTACAGAGGTGCAGGAGCAGCAGGCAGCTTGGACTGCATAAGTATCTAGAAGTAAGGTTGATTTCATAACAGACTTACAAAAACAGAAAATTGTCCAGAACTTCTATCCATACTCTGTTAGGTCACCTCTACTGGGATATAAGAAGCTGTAGGGCTGTATTTTGTTGACCTATGTAGTGTACTAGTCAAAATGGTTACTGGAATTTGAAGATTTCAGAACCCTTGATATTAAGTGAATTATACTGAAGCAATCATTTCCCTGAAATTTAAAGTTTACTTATTAATTATTAGTTTGAGAAACAAAGTTCTATTTATATATTGTACATCATTTTCTGTTGGCAGTCTCACAGGTGACTCTTTAGAATAATATAGAGACTTTATGAACATGGAGTCTCTTGCCCTTGCTTCAAATTAGTTTTAAATTGTTTTTGGATGAATGATAAATAGTTTTCAATGGAAGGTGCTTGAGATACTTGCAATATTAAGTCAGTACACCAAGTTATAGAAGACAAACTGACATTTGCTGATAATTCAGCTAATGTTTAGGTTAGTATTAGCTAGAACTATTTACTCTGATTAAAAATGACAAAGGCTAATGAAAATATATCGGTTTTATGTCAACATTCAATATATTGTAGTAAATCCAGAGAACCAGTTGTACTATTATATACGCAATATCATTTAACAATTCATCTAAGCAGTAATTTGATTAAAATATAATTCATTCCTAAAGCTCAAATATTAAAATGTTGATACCATTGGCACAAATCCTGGTGTTAAGCATCATTTTGAAATTGTAATAAAAAACCAATCATTCTTTTATTACAAAATTACTTACTGGGATTGCTAAACTAAATGAACCTAGGTACCTTAATTCTGGCATAAAAAGCATTATATAACATTTACCATGTACACAATGTATAATTGATAAAAAATATGGTAGCCAGAGCCAAATTAGAGAATTTCTCACAATGAATATATCAGTACAATGAACTGAAACAACATATTAGAAACCATGATAAAACTACCATGAAATGTTCATTTTCATGTAACATTACTTTTACATTCTAAGCATAAATAGTAACAGGAAACACTAAACTTACTTGTGATGTCTGCAGTTGTGTTGCAAAACATCATAACCATTTTTGCAGTAGCAGTTAGGTGCCCCCGTCAATGACCAGGAACTCATCATGCTCATACAAACACAGAACAAAAGGACAGTCCCTGCCCCGAAAAGCTTACACTAGAAGTATAAGACAAGAGATAACAGATAGATGCAGACAGAGATGGAGGAGTAGAAGGAAACAATGACACCAGTATCAATCAGCATCATAGTCATCTCAGCACACCAGGTGCCTGATCATTGTCAAGTTTTTGTAGGCATCGCACCAAAGGAGTGAGTTTTAAGGAGGGTTCTGAAGACCACTGTGTAGGTCACAAGTTTGGAATGTTGATGGACAATGGCAACATAATACTGCAAGTGAGGTAGAGACCTAATGTCTATTCATATCTTGTTCATCTCCATACTCATAGACACTACACTGCTCTAACTATAAATAAGACCTTCTGTTAGACCATAAATACCTTTAAGATGACTGCATGATTAAAATATGTATGAAAACCAAATATACTTTCAAAATCAGGGCTGTTTAGGTTATCTCCATAGTGCTGCTCAGATTAATGGAACTACACATAAACTAGTTGCTTCCTTTTACTGCATCCTGATCTTCCTTTTTTCCAATGTGAACATACGCCTTATTTTTTTGTGAATGTACATACATTCAGCACAGTTTTGGATGCTTGGTGACAAAATGCAAGGGTGTACGTGATGAACCATGCAACCTACCTACCAAACTCGTTATCAATCTCTTGAGTGTTTTTGCAATTCAAGAAAATGACTTCTAATTCACAAGTTATTGCACAGAGACAAAGAAAGTTGAAAACACACACAGGCAGAAAGTGAATTTTCATAATCATGTCCCTACATTTCATAGCTTATTTTTGATTAAAGGACGTTAGACTCAATTTCTCTTCTTTGTAACAACAATGGAAAGGAACTATTTTCCCTGTCTTTTTTTGAAAAATGTAGGAGGAGGGTCCAATAATATTTTGTTTCAGATCAAAAACCAATGTATGATGTGTCAAGCCTAGAGAATTTAAGTCTAACCTTTTGATGTCAAATGATCAATGGCTCCAATCTCATTTACTATGTACTTAATTTCTGTAAAACAGACAGCTTCAAACTGCAAGATTATTTCACAAAATTAATCAACGCCATTATGGGATCAGCCATTTCTCCGTTTGTAAATACACCGAAGTGTAACTTGTACAGTCTTGCTAGAATAACAGCAACTGTTTCATTCTACTTTCATCCCAGATAGCGGAATGGACGACCACATTTCAGAAGTAACTTCTGTAATTAACCACTGAAAACCTTCTCCTCATTTTCTGCAGGACAAAACTTAAAACTACTCATGGACCTATTGTTTACTCATGTAACTAACAGACTAAATGCTCTAGCCTATAAATTATTTTTGCCTTTCTAGGCATTAAATCATTGAGTTATCCAATGGTACTTCTATGCACTTTCTGGGCTGTATTTTCAAAAGGACCTACCATTTGTACAAGTGCAGATCAGGTAATGGTGTAGCTTTCAGACTGATGAATGCAAATGCCCATTTGCACACTCAAGAACCACATCCTCATTTAATGTGAGTACAGCTCCATTTACACCAGTTGAAAATTTGTCCATGAAGGTACATTCAGCACATTCACAGAAGATAGACCTCTTTGTAAATTTGGATCATATGACCCAATTAATGACAGGTATAGTTCCACTGATATAATTTGGCCTGTGATGTTTAGTTTCTCCTTCTTGGTGGAAGTATGTTAAAATTGTGGTTACATTCTGAAAAGTGACACTGTAAAATAGCATTATTAGGTTGCATATTTATCATCTCTCAATTATTCCTAATCAAATTTACTCAGTTTACATGTAAACACACCATTTTCTAATTTCCAGCCCTACTCATTCAACCAGAGATCTGAAAGTCAAGTTCTGTTCTTTCTATCTCATACATCATCATCAGTAATAAAGACTCTATAACTGAAAGACAGTAATAATTCCATTAATATCAAGCCACAGCTTTGCCAGACGGAGTAAAAACTTATTTTTGTCAGAAAAGCAAGCAGTTATGACTCAGGATACACTCAAGGAGCAGCTCTGTTGAATATGAAAGCACGTTCTGGGACCATTTCTCTCCCCATGTAGTAATCCATCCCAGAAAACAACCTCACTATAAATGGAGGCTCACTGTATCTGAAATGGGATTACAATTTGTTTCAGTGCATTGTAATCTAGACAGGGGGCTCATTCTATTTAGCTGTTATAGTGAAATTCTACTATAGAATGCTATTATAGAACTGTTAACTTTAAGTTAGTTAAATACTGTTATGTGCAAATCCTCAATTGGAAGTATAAACCAAGGGTTTATGCGGAACTCCTTGTTGTCTGTGAGTAAACTCTGGTCCCAAAATAGTATTGATATACAGTGTCCCCGCTGTTCTTCTTATGGATTATTTACAAAGTGCTTTCTGACGAATGAGTTCTCTAAAGCATGGACATAAAGAAAACAGATGTTTTCATGAAGGGTTATTTGTTTATTCATTGAAGATTGCATACAAGGTATTTTGCGAGAGATGTAAACAGAAGGTTCATATTCTGTTTGGTAAGAGTATAAAAATGGAAGTGGAATAATAAATCATGTCTTAAATGTGGAGAAAATCATACCAAATAGTCTGTCAAATTATTGGCAAGTCTCTATTCTTTTTAAAAAGTTTACTACTGTACATGACTATATTTATAAACTGACTGTATTATAAATGAACGTTTTCTATTTCAATATGAAAATACAAATGACTACAAAAAAATCATGCTTCAAAGAATGTTTACAGAACATAGTTTTCAACTAAAATAAGAGGATTTGTTTCAATTTAATTGAAAGTATCCTGTCTGTCAACAGTGTGTCCATCTATATCCAGAATCAAAATACTAAATGCTAACTAATTATAATCTGTAGAGTGAATTACATACCTGTCAGTTTGTCAAAATGCAACTGTATTATCAGATTCATCTGTCATGATCATGTTACTGACAAGTTAAAGACACTTGAGGACACACACACATTGCCACTGCAGCTTGGAGCTGAGCTGCAATGATACTTCAATGAAATAT